TATATTAATAATACCAGCTATACAAATCTGTGGTTCGAAGTTGGAAAAAATATTATTCTTGATTCAAAATTCTAAAATGAACAAAACATAATTCATGAAAAAACATTAAACCGACACTAAAACAATAAATTACCAATATTATAATCCATCTCTAACGCACAAATTCACGAAATCTTTCTTTCTTTGTTAAATCTAAAACCCCCTTTAAAAATCCCCAAAAACTCCCGTTTTCTCACCAAAACAAATGCAAATTGTGCAGGAATGGAATGCATTTTTAGATGTGCTGGCCATTTGTTTTGTGTCCTGACTTAATTAACGCTGACTTACTCATGTTGCCAGGACCCCGTACACCCCGATACCCGATCCCCGGTTCCTGGTCCCGTTTTGAACCCCCCAGGGGGTCCTCTATAAGCCGCTTGCCAGCATTGTTGCTGTCTTTTGTTGATAATTACTTTTGATAACTTGGCTCTCTTACTTAGTGAGTCTGTCTCTTGTTGTGCCCTCTTTTCCCTTTTTCACTGGTTTTCCCGCCGTTTGCCACCATTTTCCCTTTTTCACGCGGTTTTTCGGTTTATTTTATAGTTGTTGTTGCTGGCTGGTTTGGTTTTCCCTGCCCGGCTTGCATATGGCGCCATTACAGAGCTTATCAACAAGCTTTCGCATAAGCTTTAGTTTTGGTTCCCCTCCGAAATTCCCCCCTCTTCACGCCTTTGGCAACCGACTGGGCTAAGTGCTCCGTAAGCCTTGAGGTAGGTCAAGTAAAAAAATTTCAACCAGGCTCAAAAAAGGGCAGCAACAACGTCTGCTGTGAATAATGCAATTATCGTGGACTAAAGCTGCGAAGCGAGACCATGAATTATTAACAGGCAGATGAACGAAGGGTTAAAGCTGCTCGTGATACGGTGTTTAAAGTAGAAGGTATAAGATCTTAAATTTTACAAACTTTTCTTAGTAATTTTTAAAAAGTATTAAACATTTTAAAAAATATAACATTTTATTATAGAACTAAAAAATCAAAGAAAATATATTTTTTTTAATTTTTATAATAGTTGCAATTCAATTGCCAGGTTTTAAGGAAAAGTTCGACTCTGTAAGTAAACACAGAAAAATGCCTTTCCCATTTTATGCATATTTGTTTGGCTTAGGAAGTGTTTGGCCCAATAATATTTGCCACTCTATTTACATATTGTAAGGCACCCAATTTTCTCCATTTTCCCCTTTTTTCCGCCCCCTCAACTATTTGCGTTCACTGTTTGGCATGCAAATGTGTGTGTCTGTGCATAATGTACCCCGTCCATTGTTGTCGTTGTTTCTGGATGTTTCTGTATCGCACATTTGGTTTTATTGCATTCCTTTTTTCGCACGCACGAGGCCTCAAGTTTTTAGCTCGCACTCCTCTTCTAAATGTCAGCTGTCAAATATATACTATATATGCCCGTAGACATCTTATATATACCCACATATTTACTACGATTACACTTGAAGAAACATCGGTTCATATATTAAATTTGGAAAATTAAAAATAAGTTCAGTTTTTGTTCGACATACACCAATACACCAACTTCGAGTACAGAAAAAAAAATTTTTTAAATTTATCCATTCCATAAATATAAAAAAAAAATTCGAGGAGTTGAACTCGACACCTACTTAAGATTGCTTACCATTTGGTATAACTTAAATTCATAAACAGCTCGTTGAGTAATATTTTGAACCCTCTTAACATTGTTTATTAAATACAATTTCTCTAGGTGCATATGCATATATTTACCATGCATATTTTGATATGTACGTAAGTTGGTTACTTTTGCCACAGTGTCCTTGAAACGGGTGTGTGTGTGGGTGTGTTGAGTCTGTTGCCAAGTGCCTGGGTGTCTGTGTTAGTGGACAGCTGTTAAAGTGACAACATCGCGTTGAAAATTTATGCGATTGCTTATAAATCGGATTTATTTTGATATGCAGGCCAGTGATTCACTGATGATACCGGCAAGTTCCAGAAGCGTGTTTAGAGCCGCTCGTATAATCAGAATTAACGGTGTGCTGAATTTTATAAGTCTGCTTAACTCACTCAATTTGCAAGAATTGACCATTAAAAAGTAATTTAATTCAATAAATTGCTTTATTTTAAGACTCTTTTGCCGACGAATATCTAATTGGTATTTCTAACAGATTTAATAGAGTTTTCTGGAAAGATACATGTGAAATTTTTAAAAATATTCAAAAAATCTTTTTGAATAAAATAAGCCGAAAACAAAAAAGAATCAAATAAATAGTTAATATTTAAACTTGACATTTAGGTCAGTTTTTGATCTTTGACCCATATTACCCTCATGAATAATAAAAACCCCACTTAGCTTAATTTCCCACACAAGCCACTTAATCACAATGGCAACCACTTGATGGATATCAGACCAATTATTCAAATCATTAATATAATTCCGATTAAAAACGTATGAATCCAAAAGACCGAAAGAAAAAAAATGCAAATCAAAAGGTCATTGAATCGCCCACAAAAAAAGCGTACAGAAACTGAAACTGAAGTCGCCCCGGATAGACATCATTTGTATGGCTTGCCCATAATCACAAATAAATAATTAACAAATTTTGATTGAAAATGTCAAATTGCCATAGCCCTGAGCTAAATCCCGAGTGTTGAAGACCCACAAAACCATAAAATGAGTATAAAATACAAAGTAAATTTGCATAAAAGCGGCGATAAAAGAGAGCGCCAAAACAATTTGTCAATGTAACGCCCAAGAGACAACCCCTCCCTTTCTATTTTTGCCCTCTTCGCATGCTAATGGGGGAGAGGGAGGGGGAAAAGAAAGGAGAGGGGGAGAAGAAGGAGGAGGTGGTGATAGCGTGCTAATTTGCGAAGGCAAAGTCAAAATAGAGCCATAAATATGGCAAATGTTTGAAGTTGTTTCCTTTTCTTCCGGACCACCGCTCTCCCCTCCTCTCTCTTCGGCTCCTATACCCCTCTCTTTCTGCTGCCCCTACACACAAAAAAAAAACTTGGTAAAATCAACTGTAATAATTGTCAAACAGGCCCCAACCAGCAAAATTGTCAATTCTACTAAGTAAATAGTCATTTCACAACAACAAAATACACACAATTAGCAAAGACACAAACCCAAAGCAAAAACAAAATACACGTAACTATTTTAATAGTTACGTAACTATCTTTGTTGGTCAATTTTACCAAGCAAATTTTTTTGTGTGTATATCCCCCTCTTTCATTCATTGGTCATCATTAAACCAACCATTTATAATTATACATTTATCGGTAAACCAACCTGATGACTTGGAGCGGTCTCTCACCTTGAGCTTTTTACATTGATTTCAATTCCAAGCCAAAAGAAAAAAAAAACAACAATTTTGAAAACTCGTCCACCATCTCGATATCATCAAATTCGAAATTCGTGCAGTAACAAAAAAGTAAAAAAACCAAAAAAAAAAAAGTAGTTTAGTAAACTGTTATTACATCTGCGATTCATAGAAACACTACATACATACATATATGGTGAAAGGTGGGGGAAGGCGAATTGAAAATGGAACGAACGGAAGTTTGGCAAATAAAGCATTCGCACTGTGGGCCCAGCAGGGAAAAACTTTGGACCTGCCCAAGTTGGTCATCAGAACTTATGGCTTCGCCTTACGTGAGGAAATTCTAAAGCCTGAATATTCACTTTTTCTGAATTTCTACTATAGGCCAACTGAGTGCATCGACCCTGTTGTAAATATTTAATTAACCATCAAGTGCAGCTTTAATTTACATCAAAATATGGCTAACTTAATTAGGTGCAATTTCATCTACTTGCATTTTTACAAGGCTATATAACCCAAATTTCAAGACGATGATTTTATTTAAGATTCATTAATTTTAATTTTTACTACAAAAACTTTAATAGCATTGAATTAATTAGAAAGTATTTTTTTAAATCTTTTTTTTCGTATCTTTTTCACTACAAAATATTCAAATAGCTTGCCCAAATTATGATTAGCTAATTACAAGGCTATGTACGCAAATTATTAAAAATGTTATGACAATAAAAACGATTTCAGCTTTATAAGTCTCAGTTTATTGTGCTCAAGACAATGGTTGAAATTAAAAACGAGGAAGCTCAGGGAACATAATGCTGGACACTATAATTACGATTATTAATTCGAAACTACTTGCCACCTGCTTCCCACATTTATTAGCCCATTTAATTTTTCTGTTTACCCACTTCCATGTTTCCCAAGAGCCAGGTTTCCCCATGGACTAGCAACTCCACCCCTTTATGTTGACCAAAACCAATAAAAGGTAATTAAATTAAACCGTATCTAAATCAGCCACCACGAAACTTGCCCAATTTTTCCACTGTAGATCCAACAGATACATAGGTGGGCCCAAATTGCAGTTCGAATCCGAATCCTCCAGCTGTTATGGCGCTGCCTGATCAAAAAAAATCGAAAAGGGTGCCCCAGACACAACGTAATGCTCCACTTACTTCCTCGAAAGCGAGGTGCTTTCAATTTGCACAAAACACTCCACATAAATTACATAAGTTGACCATAAAATAAACTGAAGAAACAGAGCATTTGCAGGAGAAGAAGAACGGGTGAGGTAAGTGCACCTTTTTCGGAGCAGCTTTTCGGAAACTGGTTGACTTGACCAACTGACCTTGAAGCACTTCGGAGATGGGGCCGCTTACGCAATATGCATTATACCCCGCGATTCCAGTTCGATCTTCTTCTCTTGGCCACACGAAAGTCAACAAATTGCAGCTTCCCCAGCGACGATTGCAAAATTACATTTGAAGTTTTTGGTGTTGGTTTTTTTTTGAGTTTTTCCCCCAACAACAAGCCGCAGATCTTTGGCTTGTCAAAAATGTAAACACAAAAGTCTCGGGAGGGGAAGAAAAAATAAAAAAAAAAAGATGTATAAAAAACGAAGCGACGTCGCTGCCGACGCTGCTGCTTTTGGCCAGGTCTCAAGTGCGATATAAAAGCCCGGCCACAAGCCGCTCAACGATCCACAGTCCAAAGTCGCTTGCAGCTAAAGACATCCCAGTGCACAGAGTTTAACCACCCCAGAAACAGAAAATATGTTCAAATTCGTGTTGATCGCCAGCCTGCTGGTCGCCGTTGCCTTGGCAGCTCCTGCCGTGAGTGTTAATAAATATTAAAAAACCAAAAAAAAAAAAGGAAAAACTTAAAAACAAGACATAGTTATGGCAAAGAAAGTTTTACGGGTTTACAAGTTTCCATTTAGTGACAAAGAAATCAGTATATAACGCGATGTTGCCGCCGTGTCCGTTGATGTTGCTGCGGGGATTTTACGATCGCACGCACTTGGGTCGCTTGGTGCTGCGGTCCATTTCGCACTTCTCGAAGCTGCCGCACTTGACATTGCCACAATAACTGCCAGTGGATCCGGCTATTACAAGAAAAATTTAGAAAAGTTATTCAAATTTAAAGATTTTAATTTTCGGAATTTAAAATATGGATCCTTAAGCATGAAATAGAAAAGCCAAAGCCAGACATAAATATGTACTTTTCTAAAATCTTCAATTTTTCCAAAAAAAAATTTTTAATTTCAAAAAAACGTATTTAAGAAAAAAAAAAATTTTTTTTAATTTAAAATATTGTTTGTTGATAATAACAAAATCAGTATGAATTCTTTTCTGTGAATAGAGAACAGATTAGTTCAGGAAAAAAACACTTTTAGACTTCCTATTATAATATCAATATTTCACATAAATATTTGCATATCTTCTTACACCTCTTTCCTATATATACTGGCTTATATTTAAGGTCAAGACCGGTTTAAAAATATCATTTTACTTTATGAAAACTTACTGTTTTTGCTACCAAAAGGCGATTTATCGGCTCCGGAATTTCCCAGCAAATTGGGCTGAACGCAGCTGCGACCATTGCACAAATTCGGGCAGCATTTTCCGCCAATAGCACTGCATTCGCTGTCATGCAGACATTTTGGGGTACAGTTTTGAACCTTTGTGGACGAAGGACAGTCTGCCGAAAAAAGGGAGTCTATTAAAAAGCTCGGGAAAAGCTGAAAGTGCACACTTACCACCCGCAGCAAAGGCAGCAACCACACAGGCAGCAATTAACAGAGAAAGAAAGCCCAGCTTAACTGAAATTACATAAATGTAAAAGCAAATTCTGAGTGGTTCCGCATTTCGTGCGAATATTTGATAGCCATATATGTGTATTTGGACCTACCCATGATGATGATAGTTGAACGTCCGCTTCGTTACTATAGTTAACATCGACTGGCGTTCATCGGGCTTTATATGCCCCGATCGGCGGTTTCGAGTCGAACAAGTTTTCTGCTTATTTGCCTTTGTATTTTTCATTTTTCACTTTATTTTTTGTATTTCACCTCCCCAACTTGCCTTGACGAGAGGTACTAAAACAAAGGAACGACAAAAAAAACACGGACAAAAACAACAGCAAAGCACTTATCAATTTGACTTTGGATTTACATACGAGAAGGATCGGAATTAGCGATATTTGAAGACGCTACTTTAAGAAGAAGATATAATATATGAAAGGGGCGCAAATAAAATATTATTTTCCATGCGCGGTTCCAAAATCCCAATTACCACCCACTCGGGTGAAAAATGAAAGGAGCTGTGGTATTCAAAAAGTGTGCATCAATTTTTTTAAACCCCCTCCAGGATCGAAATAAATATTTTAATGTATTAAAATATTTTTTAAGGTTATTTAAAAAACTGCACTTTGACACCTTCATATGATTACCATACCGCTGTAGCGTATAAAACAACCGTACGACCTCTACCTGAAACACATATCAAAACAACAGTACATCGACATATTTCAATTACTGTTTCCGTTCATGCACTTGCTCAAAAGACAGGGGAATAATGTGTCAAGATGTCGTAATGAATATATCATTTCTTCTTCTTTGACTTGAACGATCCGGCATGAGTCATTCCGGCATAGTCTATGTTTATACGAAACTTAGAAATCAAGATATTTCCGTTTTTCAAAGTTGAACAATATTTGCAACCATTGTATTGTTTTGAGATTGGTTGTCTGTATCAATCATGTGGTATAAACTTTGAGGGAGTCATGTAACCATTTCTGACAGGCGACTATTAAACTTAATAGTTTTGCGGTTCAATGGGTCATTTTGGATATTACACAGGCATCGTGATCTCATAATCCATTTGTAGGGATTGGGGATCCCGAAGTCTAGATGACCGGACAAAAATATTTAGATCTTCAGCTTAGAAACTGGTACAACTAATATTTAAATAAGACATGAATAAATTCAGCATAAGGGGGCGTGTTTTGTTGACTTGACCGAGAAGGTTTAAGTTTTTTTAAGTAATAAATTCAGAAGTGTTGCCCATGACAATAACTAACTAATTATATCTTCGATATTTTTCAGCGCGAGGAAACCGAGGCCGAAAGGGTAGAGAGGGAGGAATATGAAAAGTATCAGAACGAAAATGCCCAATACGCGTTCGATTCCAAAGTGGACGATAAAATCAACGATGGACAAATTTCCCGGACTGAGGAGCGCGAAGGAGGCACTGTCCGTGGTTCCTACAGCTACTTCGATGGGTTTGTTCAACGCCATGTCGAGTACATCGCCGATAAGGATGGCTACAGGGTGCTTAAGGACGAGATGAAGGATGTTGGCGATGGCCCACAGTTCAATCCCGAAGGCCAAGCTGACGTACAGGGTTCTCTGATCGGCAAGTACTCCATTAAGTTGGACAAGACCGACGACGAGAAGCACTACAAGGACATCCATGCTTAAGCGAAAAAATAATTGGAGATTTCTAACATTTAGAAATGGACTGAATACATCCTAGAGCCTTAAAGTAGAGTAAACACCATCAGAACACAAATTGTATTTTTCCTCCGAAATAAAATATTGAAAAAAATTTAAAAAAGTCCCATAAAGGAAGCGATCCTTCACTCCTTAAAAGTTTCACGGTTACTTTCTTATTTTCAAATTTATTTGTAATAATGTTTATTTATTGGTTAATTTTGCGGTAAGTGCATCTAGGAGCAAAACGTTGTTCTTCGTTTAGGTTTTGTTTATGAATTTGGATTCATGTCGCCATTGGTTTATGCTGATGTTGCTGTTGATTTAATGGCTCTCATTCATTTACTGTCCTCAAACTGTGTTCATTTTTCCGTTTGTAGTTCTTTTCTTTCTCTTTATAATTTTCAATGTATTTTCGTATTTATCAACAGTTTTTAGCTTAACATATAGGGTCTCGTTTTGAAATCAATTACGTGTATTACATTTACGTTTATGCGCTACATGCTAAAGAAATGTGGGCGTGGAGAGTCTTAAATCGCTTGGGTGAGTGTGTGTATGTGGGTGTTGTCGGGTGGATAATACTAAACTTAGAGAATTAGAAATTAAAGCCTAAGCGCTGGGCCCAAGCGTTCTCAAAATACATTATGAATATTTCATAAATTACACAGTAAATTAAAGTATACTTAACTAACAATAAGTATATTGATCAAGTTCGTATATTCAGAAATCGAACCAACCGAATCACGCACATACAGCGAATAAATTATAAAAATATAGTCATCAGACGTGAGTGAGTCCATATGCTAACCTAACCTCTTATGTAGTTTATATTCTGCCATATAAATTACATTTAAAACATAAATATTTACATTAGAATTACTTTCTTTAGTGTTTTATGCTATACTTATGCCTTCTCTTCGTTCATATTTGCTTTGCTGTAAGTTAAATGATAGTTTCATATCGAGTTCTATTGTTTTTTTTTAGAGTGCTTGTGATATCCTTAAACAATCACAAAAAACAACGAGTATCTTAAGGGATATGCAACAAGCACAAAACACACAACACTAGCTTGCATTTTAGGCTTAACTCTTCCCTCTTCCCTATCTTTATACAAAAAGTGTTACGAATTGCCAGTTTGCTTAGTTTACATGAATTGCAAATGAATTATAATATACATTTATGTATGGTTGCCATTGCTGCGTCCGTGCGTAAGCCTCTGCACTTGCGTTGTATTATTCTGTTTGTTGTACACTTGGTTTTTGCCTTTGCTCTTTGATTGCTACCGTTCACAATTCAAACGTTCGCGGTATCTCTCTACTGGGATCGACTAAAGATACGGGTCTCTAAGTAACTATAATACGTTATCCATCTCATCTAATCACGCAGGCGACGCACAGCTTAGCCGCACCGATGCAATCGTCGTGGCAGAAGGCTCCGCACTGCTGGCAAATAACCATCGCGTTAAGTGAACAGGCGCAATTGTTTGGCGTAGCGGTAGCCTCATTGCCCGGCGGAGTGTTCTCCCCGCTCTGATGCAGCTGCAGCAGTGGGTGTGGATGTTGTGCAGCGGATTGTTGCGCCTGTGGCTGCTGGTTGATGGGCGAAGGTGCTGCTGTGGGTGCTGCGTTGGTCGTCACTATGTAGTTGTTGCCAGCTTCCATGAGAGCGACGGCCGATGAGTTGGTATTGCTGCCGTCGATGTAGGCGATATTGGGTCCTAATTGGAAATGATATTAGTATTTTAATAAAAATATATACAGAACTAAAAATTCTATGGTTAAATACTTACTAATAAATTACTAATCTATATAAAACAGATTTATTAAAATGATGTATAGCAGGGGCCGTTTTTTTTACTACATTTTGAATCTACAAGCTTCTTCAACTTATAAAAAATAATAGAAGTTGTTTAATAAAATCAAAAAGACAAGAGAAACAATACTTTTTTCGGCCCCTGCTATTCAACCGAATCTTCCTTATTATATAGGTATTCATGCAAAACACAAAAGTAATTCGACCACGTAGGTTAATCTAACAAATCTATGCAACAAACTTATGATTGCGTGCCAATTATGGTAACATGACCAGTAGGTTGATGATTTTGTGGGTGGTGATTTGAAAGACGTACCTCGCTAACCACTAATAATACACCAATTTACCTGCAGCGATATTGCGCCGCACAATATTCGCGGCGGCGCTCACATTGCCCAGCGGCTGCGGCTGCTGATGTTGCTGCTGCTGCTGTTGCTGTTGCTGTTGCTGCAGTTCGTGGTGATGATGACGCAACGCATCTGTGGCGGAAATTGTTGGCGCTATAACGTTACCGCTGCCTGCAGTCGTATCCACCGAAGCTGGACGCCCGCGTCCACCCATAGGAATGCCATTCAGGCTGTGCAGCGGATTCTGAACAGTGACAAACTAAAATGGGAAAGGTTTTAGTACGGAGAACACATTTTAAAAGGCAAAATGATAGACCTACCTGATTTTGATGCATCGGTGGGGCACTGGAGGCTCTAGGCGCTTGATTGTCAGCTGCCCCCACATTCGCGCGATGAACAAGTACGTACTGACCGCTGCCATTCTGGTGGATCAATTGCTCCGATGCCGCCTGCTGAGGATTTTGCACTGGCACCGGCACTGGTGAAGTGGCCGACTGATGATGCTGCTGCAGCAACTGCAACTGCTGAGGGGTAGCTGTAGCTCCGCCAGGACCTGGACTAAACACATGCCGGATGAGCGTGGTGGGCGAGGGCTTTCGCTGGACGTATTTCTTCCGCGGAAAGCCACTCATTCGGGGTCCGATGACCTGAAATATCCAAAGAAATCCAATTAGTTATTAAGAAAATAATAATATGCAAGTTAACTGCCTACCTTATAAACTCCCGGACGTCCTACACCCATTACATTCGGCGGCAATCCAGCGGGCAGAGCTCCCGCACCAACTGCTCCACTGACCAACAGCTCCTCTTGCTTTAGAATATTCTGTGGTGGTGCTGCGGCCACGGCTGCTGCCATACTCCCGCTGGCCGTCGTTACGTTGGACATGGGTGTGGCGGCCACCGTGGAAACATTCAGGGTCACAGGATTAACAGGTGTTGCAGCCGTAGTTACCACCGCCGGCTGTTGATGCTGGCTGAGAATCGCGGCCGGTGGGCGCAGTTGGGCCTTGAGGTTCTCGCGATTCGGACTATTTTGAATTACGGCCTGGCAGATTTGATAGCTACGCTCCAGATTAACCGCTCCCGGTGGCAACCTGTTGCTGGTGGCCTTGCGACCTTTGCCCGTTGGCATTTTCGGCTGCAATCTTTGCTGCGCTATGGTAGTTGGCACTCCCGAAGGTGGCAGAGCTTTCATCGTCAGCACATTGGGAATAGTGGGCATATTGCTGTTGTGATTGGCCAGGTGCTGCTGCTGCTGCTGCTGTTGGGGGGCAGGTACTGGCGGTGATTGCTGCTGCTGCTGTTGCGCGGCTGTCACAGCAACAACATTGGCGTAGGCGGACGGAATAGTAGCGGTATTTGCTGTCGTTGCTGCTGTGGTAGGCGATGCATTGGCAGGTCGCGTCATGGAGATGATATTCAGCGGTTTGGCAATGAACTTGGCCTGTGTTGTCGGCGGCGCAACATTTTGCTGCTGTTGTTGTTGCTGCTGCTGCTGCTGCATTAGATTGTTGTTAGCCGCCTGGGCGAGTAGTTGTCGCTGATGCAGTTGCGCCTGTTGCAGGGCAAACTGCTGAATTTGCTGTTGCTTTTGTTGTGCGGCAGCCTGTTGCTGTTGCTGTTCCAGTTGTTGCTGCTGCTGATGTTGTTGTGCGAGCAAATTGGGCGACAAGAACTGTTGGGCTCCGTTTCGAAGAGCCACGGGTAATGTCTTGGTTAAGGCATTGCTACTTGTTGCTTGCTGTTGTTGTTGCTGCTGCTGCTGCTGGTGTTGCTGCTGCTGCTGTTGTTGTTGTTGTTGCTGCTGTGCGGCTGCCGCCTGCAGCGTAAATTGTTGTAGAAGCTGCTGTTGTTGCTGCTGGCGTTGCTGCTGCAGCAGAAAGTTGCCAATTATCTGACCATTGGAGTCCACTAGAATCTGCCGTTGTTGCGGTCCAGTTGGCTGCGTGTTTTGCTGCGGCTGCTGTTGTTGCGCTGGTTGTTGCGGCAGCTGGCTGATAGTGAGACTGTTGCTGCTGCTACAAAGGCTCAGATTGTTGCTGCTGTCGTTGCTATTGCTGCTGTTGGTGATCACCGTGCTGGACACCTCCATTTCGGCAGCAGACATTGGGACAGCGTCGCAGAGCATTTCCTGGGAGATCTTGAAAGAATAAAATTAATAAATAAAAAATCCTTAAAAAAATATAATTTGTAAACTCACATCATTTCCATATTCGCTGTGAGCTTGCGGCATAAACGAATGTTGGGACAATTGCACCACATCCTGGATATGCAACTGCTGGTGTTGTTGCTGCTGTTGTTGCTGCTGCTGCTGCTGTTGATGTTGCTGCAGCTTGTCCACTATCTCCCGCACCGCCTCGCTATCCTCATCCATCATCTGCTGCTCCTGCTGATCATCCGCTATGCATTCCACCACTTCATCGTCTTCCTCCTCCTCTTCCTCGTCCTCCTCCTCATCGTCGAGCACTTCGTGGCACACATCGTTGTCCATAATGTCGTCGATAACGTCGGCATCCTGCACTACATCCATCAAATCGATGGCATCGTGGCTTAGGTTTCGCTGCTGATCCCCACTTGATTGTGAGCTGCTCAATTTAATGTCGCCAAAGTTCCAATCGTGCTGCACATGCTGGTACATCTCATTCGAGTTTAATTCCACTGGCAACTCCTGTTGCTGCTGCTGCTGTTGCTGCTGCAACTTGGCCACCGTTGAGAGCATCGCTTGAACATTTGCCAAAGTGGTTTCAGCTGCCGCCGCCAGCGTCAAAGGAGCCGAGGCTGCTCCCGCGGAGGATGATGTTGTGGGCGCAGTTGTCGTCGAGCCTGAATTGCTGCTGGAGCATGATGACGACATCGAGGCGGTGGAGGATGAGGACGAGGTGCAGCTGGTGGATGTAATCGAACTGGCCGGCGTCGACCCAGAAATCGAGCTTGCAATGGGCATTGGTGAGTCCTCCAGCTTATCGCCATGCTCTTCCAGTTTAATAGCTGCCGTTGTTGCCGCTACATCGCAAAATAGGAACAAAAAATACATTAGAATCTTGAAATAGGTAAGAGATAAGTATGATGATTACTGTTGGACGATGAAGATGAAGTGAAGTAGTTGTGATTGATGGTTGATTGATGGTCTTGGAAATAGGCTGATTAAAAAGAATGAAGGAAAATTAGTTACTAGTACTGATAATTCTGAATGCAAACTAACCGTGATCGATGGTATCTGCAAAAACGAAATCATGGCTATTTGTTCCTGTCAAAATATCTGCCTCGTTTGTATTATCCAAAGGCGCTTTGGTTTCTGAAAGATTAAAGGAGTAAGGGAAAAGAACTAAATGAGTATTTCGTGGATATAACTTACCAGCTGCCAGTTCAACGCTTTGCAAGTAGCTTACAAACTGGTTGACCACCTCCGGATTGGTTGCCAAGGGTTCCGGCTTTGGTGCGGCTGGTGTGACAGCAGCAATCGCTTGTGCAGGTGCAACAGGCACCACCTTCTCCACATCATCTACTTGTTTAATGGCAACGATCACCTCCTCTCCACTGCTGCACTCAGATGGCTCAATTTTATCACAGGTACTGTTGATAAGTGGCTGATGTTGTCGTTGGTGGTTCTGTTGCTGCTGCTCCTCCTCCTTGATTTTAGTTTCCGCCGCTGCATGATCCACAACATCAACATCATTCCCTGACGCATTAGGAACAATTTCGGCTATTTTCGGCTGTTTGCTATCCTTCGATGTGCTGGGCAGCTCGTCGGGATCGTCGTCCAGCGTTATGGTGGCTATCGTTGTGGGTATTTGCTTGCGCTGCGAAGGACTACTCGATGGACGTTTGAGGATGCGGCGTTGCTGTTCGTTTAACACACTATTCTGGCTGCTGATGGTGGTAGAGGCAGGAGCTGCTACTGCTGTTGCTACTGTAGTTTTTGTGGTTGCTGCTGTCGTTTCGCACTTTGTGCTCTGCAAAGTTATTACAATATTATTTATTTGACATACTAATTAACGAGTTTAGTTACTTACCAAATCAAATTTTAATTCAGTCTCATTATCACATGTTGCTTGTTGTTGCTGTGGTTTTTGTTGCAATGTCGCTGGTGGTTTGGGCTCACTCTTTACGCTGGCCGCAGGTTTCTGCTCCTTCTGGGCTCCCTCGCTTTCCGGCTTCCCCTTGCTCCTCGAGTTCTTCTCACCCCAGAAGGGCTCGAAATGCTTCAGCTTCCAGGGATCCAGCTTGTTCTTTTCGCGCTCTGCCTCCGTCTTGAGCTTCAGCTGATTCTCCGGCGTGAATTCGCCTTCGCTCAACCGCTCCCGCCATTCCAGACAGGCTCGGGCGAAGAACTCGTTGTTCAGGCACGAGGCACTCAGCCGTATAGCCTCCGCGGGGCTGCCTCCACTGCCGCTGGGCAGCTCCACTTCGCTGGCCTCACGATCCACGCTGGGCAGGAGCTGTATGAGATTGTATTGATAGAGGGGCGGCAGGAGCGAGAACGTTTGCTTGTTGAGCAGCGCCCTCAGGTTCGTGGAGGCCAGTATGGAGTCCGGCGTCTCCAGATCGATCTTGCCGTCTTTTGTCTGCTCAATTTGCGCCGCCGTAGTCAACTTCTTATTGCTCCTGCGACGGGGCTTAACACTGAAGCCGGGTATGGAGGCCAGGACCTCGCGCATGGTCGAAGCTTGCGAGGATCCGGCCTTGCTACCGGGTGAGATGGCGGATGGGTAGTTGGCGGCGGCGGCTTGGGCTTGAGCTGCGGCCGCTGCAGCTGCTGCTGCTGCCGCTGCCGCCGCCGCTGCTGCTGCAGCCGCTTTGACCTGTTGCTGCTGCTGGATGCGTCGGCTGCAGATGAGGCGCGTGGGAGGAGCAGGAGCGGGAGCGGGAGCAGGAGCAGGTGCCGGGCTGACGACTGGCTCTTCACTGGGCGCCATCGGCTTCTTTTCAGGTGGTATGGGTTTCACGATAATGCGTGGCAGGTGGCGTCTACAAAGGGAAGTAGTTTATATATTTCTAGATTTTTTTGTTATATTTTTGAACCCACCTCAGACTGTGCGTGTGCTTGGTGGAGGGCGACACCTCCAGCTGCTCCAGGGCCAGTGGATCCTTCTCGTCGTCGTCCACCAGATTGACGTGCTCCATTATGATCGGAGGCGGTGGAGCGGCCAACAGGGACTGCTGCTGCAGCATCGGCTGGTGGTGCTGATCCGCCGCCTGTGGAATGAGTAGTTGTTGGTGGTGCTGCTGCTGCGACGCCGCCGTCGTCGTCGTCGTATCCGGCGTTATTGTTTTCATTGTTAATCGCTCTGCCTAATCTATTTACAGCGAACTTTTGATCCATGCATCCATGTCAGGCGAGTTTCTTCCGCACATACTGCAATTGGATGGGAAGGCGTAGTTCCGCAAAATTAGTTTTGGTTTGTCAAGAAAGTTGATTAAAGTTCAAATGGCAGTGGGATATGGTTTTTTATGAATGAAAAGGGGATCTCAAATAAAATCAATAATATATGGATTTATTAACCAGATAGATTTAAACCTTAGGGCTTTAAAATTAAATATTTTGGTAGGTAGGTTAAAATATTAAATATTTATTTATTTTTATTATTGAAAATTAAAAAGGTTTTTTAATACTTTTTTTGATTAAAAATAAATAGTTTTACCAATTGTTAAAAGTTCTAGATTATCATACATATATGGATTTTTAAAAGATTTTGTAAATAAAATAATAAAACCATATAGATTTTAACTTTTAGGCTTTAAAATTAGATATTTTAGTAGGTTGTAGACCTAGAGTAATCCTAAAATGTTTTTAAAGTTTTTAAAAAAAAATTGAAAAAAATTTAAAGTGTCTTCTTTGATTAGAAATAAATAGTTTAACCAAAGGTTACAAATTCTACACCTTTAAATGTTTTCTAGGTTTAAAATGTACTGTTATTTTCCCCATGAAGTCGGGTTCTAACTGTAGTTCTTGTATTTCAGTTTGTTTATTTGACCTACGAAATAAAAGTCCTAAGTTCCTATTCCCAATATGGTTTAAGCTTCCTGACCGAAACTTCAGATGGGCAAACTTGTTCCTAGTTTTTCAGTTTATGACACGATTAATCCTGCACAAACCTGGCCAGCAGTATTGTCCATTTTAAGGCAAAAACTGTCTGTATAATTTTAACGTTGCGCCCTTTGTATATGTATGTACTGCCCATCTGTGTGTATGTATGTACGTATGTATTTCGTTAGATGTGTGTGTGTGTGTAATTTTATATGTAATCGAATTGCGGCTATGCGGAGATTTTCCGTTTTACTTTGGTTTCCATTATCGTTTTAGTTTTCCTTTCGATTTTCCGCACTCGCCAGCATTAAAATTAAACAAAAACAACAATGTAACTTCAACAATAACAACAACTACGAGCGACCTGCGAAGTTGTTGGTTGGTTATATTTTTTTTCTCACGCACGCACACACACACATCCAGGCACTCACACGCACACACACACACTAGCAAGCACAGCAAAGAAGTAGAAAAATTGCTTTTGTTGCTATTTTAAACAGATTTGTGCGGTTATTTTACCTATTTATCGTACGGATTTTGAGCTGTACTAGAGCACTATCTTTTGCATAATGCCGATTTTCGCCTCGCTAATGGCTCACTAAATTAAATATTGAATGGGGGAAATGTGAATGCCAAACACACAAACAAAGCAGCTACAAAATGATTCTTTTCTAGCTAACTATGCCGGTCCCTTTCTGGCGCACGCGTTTTGGGCTATCGGGCCCAGCGCCCGACCCTCTCGCTCGCACACTACGCAGAAAAGCTGCGTTTAATTGAATGAAATTGTTTTAGTTAGTACAATACGAACACTGGGCACTAGTTAGCAGCAACTTTTAAGTGTTTTTTCGTGGCCCGTTTTAAACGCGAATCGCTCGAATTTCTGGCTGCCCTGGCCAAGTCCGATGGGGTTGTTGATGTCGCATCCGATACATCGGATATCGAATATCGGATGGGAGCGGAGCGGTAGTATTTGCGCAGTCACTGCTCCCGCAGCAGGGTTGCCATCGAATGGCTGCACTAGCGGGGAATGGCTGGAAAAAAGCTAGAGAAAGGAACAGTCGTGAGTGCGCCAAAATACCAGTTTATACCCGCAGTTTTATGTGTAAAGCCTAGTACTCAGTACGATGAAAACTGCTAGCTAAGCATAGGAGTAAGCGAGAGGCAAATAGGTAGCTAAGGCCTTTAGCTGGGACTTTTTTCCACGGCGGTACTCAGTTGAGCTAAGGAAACAATAAGGAAATACCAAAAAAATACTAGATTTAGCGGATGAATTCCGATGAACGCCTTAAAGCCTAGTACTCAGTTCGGCTAAGAGTTTTACTAGTCGAAAAATATTAATATTTTAGGGTGACCGAAGTTTTTGGAGTTCATCCGCAATGCATGTAGAATGGTCTTACTCTCAGCAAGCAAATTAACTGGCGCCAATTTTGAAATATTACAAAATGATTAGCCGACCTAGGTCGCAAGCTTTAAATTTGCTGTTGGAATGAGGATATGTATTGCTGCAACTCCTACAGGCAGTTTTCCATTGGTTTTTGGGGTTTTCATTCTATTTATAATATGTTATTGGCACACCCCTTCTGCACAAACACAGCCAAAGATCAAATTTTTTATTCTTTGGGCCGCGGCTAAAGGCGTTCATCAGAATTCATCCGCTAAATCTAGTATTTTAGTGGTATTTTCTTACTATTTCCTTAGCTCAACTGAGTACCGAGGTGGGAAAAAGTCCCCGGCTAAGGGCCTTAGCTACCTATTTGCCTCTCGCTTACTCCTATGCTTAGCTAGCAGTTTTCGTCGTACTGAGTACTAGGCTTTAGCCGCGGCCCAAAGAATAAAAAATTTGATCTTTGGCTGTGTTTGTGCAAAAGCGGTGTGCCAATAACAATTTAGGGGGATTCCCTAAACTGTTGAATTGCTGAATTGTTGAAAATTCAACAAAAAATTTCAGCAATTAAGGGAACGACCCAAAATGGTTCTTGTTGAATTTTCAAACAGCTGTTATTTGTTAAAAAATTTCACGGAACTTAAAGCATGTAAAATTTGATATATTATTGCTAGTTACTGCCTAAAAGTGTTACCAAGGTAAAAAGAACTACAAATATGCTTTTTAAGTTGATTTTAAAATAAATAATGCGTACTGGTGATACTAAAATGTTACAGAGTTGCCACGACTTTTGAAAAAAGGTGACAACTCTGGCTTTTCAGCAATTCAACAACATTTTCAACAGCCTCGAGGCTGATGAATTGCTGAAATTTCTGAAAGTTGACTTTGTATGGAACAGCTGATTAACAGCTGACCAAAATTCAACAATTCAGCAATTCAACAGTTTAGGGAATCCCCCTTTTTTTAAATGGAAAGAAAACCACAAAAATCAATGGAAAACTGCCTGTAGGAGTTGCTGCAATACATATCGCCTCTTCAACAGGGAATTTAATGCTTGCGACCCAGGTAGGCTCAACGTTCTGTAATATTTTAAAATTGGCGCCAGTTGATTTGTTTGCTGAGAGTAAGACCATGCTACATGCATTGCGGATGAAATCCGAAAACTTCGGTCACACTAAAAGATTAATATTTTTCGACTAGTAAAACTCTTAGCCGAACTGAGTACTAGGCTTAAATCATGATTTAATAATAGGGGGATTCCCTAAACTGTTGAATTGCTGAATTGTTGAAAATTCAACAAAAAATTTCAGCAATATGGGGAACGACCCAAAATGGTTCCTGTTGAATTTTCAAACAGCTGTTATTTGTTGAAAAATTTCACGGAACTTAAAGCATGTAAAATTTGATTTATTATTGCTAGTTACTGTCTAAAAGTGTTACCAAGGTAAAAAGAACCACAAATATGCTTTCTAAGTTGATTTCAAAATAAATAATGCGTACTGGTGATAGTAAAATGTTACAGAGTTGCCACGACTTTCAAAAAAAGGTGACAACTCTGGCTTTTCAGCAATTCAACAAAATTTTCAACAGCCCCGAGGCTGTTGAATTGCTGAAATTTCTGAAAGTTGACTTTGTATGGAACAGCTGATTAACAGCTGACCAAAATTCAACAATTCAGCAATTCAACAGTTTAGGGAATCCCCCTAATGTTAGTTCTTAAAGTATTGCTGCGGGATTCTATTTTTCATTATTGCTTCCCCTTCTCAGCTAAGTATATAAGTAAATTAAATGTTTCTCCACATTTACTGGTAAAAAGGGACACCTTCTGAAGATCGAAAATAATTCTAAATAATATTAAAATAAACTTCCACTAACCACTTATGTAAATATGACTTTTTTAGGAGCTTTACAAAAATTTATAAAATCACAGGTTGTGGAAGAACTAGCGAAATAGAATCTCTACTAACTAAAATGTAGCCAAACTGGAATTCTGATTCCGTAGCGGGATTCTGCTTTTTGGTATTTTGTCCACTTTTCAGCAAAGTTAATTAAATGTTTCTGGACATCTAATTATATAAAAGGGTCACTTTCTTAAAATGCAATATATTTAAAGTAAACTTCCGCTATACGACTTTTTTAAGAGCTTTGAAACAACCGCACAGCCTGTGGAAAGGTATAAATATAATCTCCACTGACTAAAAAGTAGCCAAAAAGTGTGCACCTCTAGGCCGATAATCCTTCCCCGCGGCAATCGATAGTTCCCCAGCTGCTGAAAACTCCATGCGCTCGGCGGGTATTACAAATCATCGATTTTTGGATGATTACGTGAGACAAACCCAACGCGGAATATTTATAGACAAGAATGTAATATTAGCGGAGCCAGAATTAATAAATTTTGAATACACACAGGGTAAAATAAGACCTCAACTTTTCGCATATGAAAAATCCGCTAGAATTATGCGAACAAATTTAATTACACCCAATTTTTCACACGCAAACACAGAAACTATGGAAAGAACATTCAAAAATCTTGTACGAGATATCCAGGCTAGTATGAGAAAGTATTATGCAATACAAGCCTCCACATTCAATAATGATATCGAATTAAAAAGAATAATAATACGCACTATATGTATTTTAATTAAAATACAGGGAAGATTCGGTAAGTGCTCTTTTCTTTATCTTATTATATTTTAATTAATTAACGAGGACGGAAGCTAACTTCGGCAAGCCGAAGTTTTAATACCCTTGCAGATTTCACGAATGAAAACTTGACTAGAATAGCAGCATGAATTAACAAAACAAAATATTTTATAATTGAAAAAAAATTAAAATTTAAAATTTTTCACCCTATTGTTCCTATGAGAGCTATAGGATATAGACGTCCGATCGGCACGCGCCATCACCCTGGACAAGTTATGCATAAAAGAATACGATTTGGAAAGTTTCATGTCAATAGCTTATATTCTGCGCGAAATATCCTGAAAAACGTAAAACTTCGACCGATTTCACCCTATTGTTCCTATGGGAGCTATAAGATATAGACGTCCGATCGGGTCGGTTTTCAAACTTGATCTGCGTACACATGTTTTAGGAAGACTGTGAAAGTTTTAAGTCGCTAGCTTTTAAACTGAGCTCGCAAACGGTATTGAAACAGACGGACATGGCTATATCGACTCCCCTATTGATACTGAACAATAATAAATATCGGAGAACAGACATTCTCCGGGTTATTCATTTGAATTAGCGAAGTGAGTCCCGATCGCGGCAAGAGTTCAAATCGAAGTGCCTGTGCAACCAGAACGCCTCTCGCTCCGAGCTCATCTTCCCTCTCACTCAACTCCTTTCTCGCTCTTGCGCAACCTGGCCACACTCGACGGTTATGCCATTTCAGAAGGTCTGGCAACACCGTCTCGCTAATATTGCGCTCTCGCTCTCAAGAGAGAACTAATACTTTGTATACTTCATATGAAAAACAACGTCAAAAAATGTTGTTTCATATGAAGTTTTTGTTTTGGACGACTTTTTGTTGGGTTGAGTACTAGCCTTAAAAATACAATTAAAGTAAGCTTCCACTAACCATCGCTAAAATCAAAGGTTGTGGAAACACTTGCTCAATAGAATCTCCACTGACTAGAAAGTAGCCAAACTGACTAAAAAGTAGCCAAAAGGACTAAAAAGTAGCCAAAAAGTGTGCACCTCTAGGCCGATAACCCTTCGCCGCGGCAATCGATAGTTCACCAGTGGTGGGCCGGCAAATTGTGTTTAATTTTGCAAATAACTTTGTTTAATAATGTTTTAAGGACTTGCGCGACAACCAAGAGAGAGCAAACCACAATGTTTTCCATGTGCAAGCAGACGCACGCCGCGACGGCGCTGGAGTTTTCGATAGCGTGTCGCTTCTTCAACAACCTGGAGGAGAACCTGGTGGTGGCGGGCGCCAATGTGCTGAAGGTCTACCGCATAGCTCCCAACGTGGAGGCGGGCCAGCGCCAGAAGCTGAATCCCAGCGAGATGCGGCTGGCTCCGAAGATGCGGCTGGAGTGCCTGGCCACGTACAATCTCTATGGCAACGTGATGTCGCTGCAGTGCGTCTCCTTGGCGGGCGCCATGCGGGATGCCCTGCTGATTAGCTTCAAGGACGCCAAGTTGTCCGTTTTGCAGCACGATCCGGATACGTATGCCCTGAAGACCCTGTCGCTTCACTACTTCGAGGAGGACGACATACGTGGCGGCTGGACGGGCAGGTATTTCGTGCCCACCGTACGCGTGGATCCCGATTCCAGGTGCGCCGTCATGTTGGTCTACGGCAAGCGACTGGTGGTGCTGCCCTTTCGCAAGGACAATAGCCTGGACGAGATCGAGCTGGCGGATGTGAAGCCCATTAAGAAGGCGCCCACTGCGATGGTCAGCAGGACGCCCATAATGGCCTCGTATCTGATTGCACTGCGGGATCTGGACGAGAAGATCGACAATGTGCTGGATATACAGTTCCTGCATGGCTACTACGAGCCCACGCTGCTCATCCTCTACGAACCGGTGCGCACTTGTCCCGGAAGGATCAAGGTGCGCTCGGATACGTGTGTTTTGGTGGCCATTTCACTGAACATCCAGCAGCGAGTGCATCCTATTATTTGGACAGTCAACAGTCTGCCCTTTGACTGTTTGCAGGTGGGTTTGGACTCTCATTAAATCTATTATCTCCTTGCAAATATTCACATATCTCCTTTCCACCCAGGTTTATCCCATTCAGAAGCCCATTGGTGGCTGCCTGGTGATGACCGTCAATGCCGTCATCTATCTCAACCAGAGCGTTCCTCCTTATGGCGTCAGTTTGAACAGCTCAGCGGACAACAGCACTGCCTTTCCCCTAAAACCGCAGGATGGAGTGCGTATCTCTTTGGACTGCGCCAACTTTGCTTTTATTGACGTAGACAAGCTGGTCATCTCGCTACGCACTGGCGATCTCTACGTGCTCACCCTCTGCGTTGATTCGATGCGAACGGTGAGGAACTTCCATTTCCACAAGGCAGCCGCCAGTGTGCTGACCAGTTGCATCTGCGTCCTGCACTCGGAGTACATCTTTTTGGGATCTCGTCTGGGTAACTCGCTCCTACTGCACTTTACGGAGGAGGATCAGAGCACGGTCATAACTTTGGACGATGTGGAGCAGCAGGCGGAGCAGCAGCAGCAGCAGCGAAATGTGGCGGAGGAGGATCAAAATCTGGAGGAGATTTTCGATGTTGATCAAATGGAAATGGCGCCAACACAAGCCAAATCCCGTCGCATTGAGGATGAGGAACTGGAGGTGAGCTAAAGTAACTAGTAGAGCCCTGCATGAATGGATTCAATGAATTATTTTGAATTTTTTGTTTTATATGAATGAATTAATTAGAATTTTGAGTTTAATAGAATAGAATTGAACGAATGAATGACATAAATTCCGAAATAATTCAAACGACAATTTCTTTTGAAGAAGAAAGGGCCATAATTTTGTGATAAAATCTGCATGAATTTTATTTTCTATGCAGTTAACATTGATTTGTTAAAAATGTTACTCTTTTAGTTCTCAAAAGAAAGCACAAAAAAAAATCTTATCTTATTCAATTCGAATTGAATTAGAAAAACATTCCATTTATTTCACATAGAATTGAATTAAACAAATCTGAAATTTCATGGCATACTATGATAAAACAAAAATTTAATGATTCACGCAGGGCTCTAGTAACTACCTAAAATTCTGAATTAATAAAAATGTGTCCCCTTTTTAAATAGGTATATGGTCAGGGAGCCAAGGCATCGGTTCTCCAGCTGCGCAAGTTCGTCTTTGAGGTGTGCGATAGTCTAATAAACGTGGCGCCCATCAATTACATGTGCGCCGGTGAAAGAGTGGAGTTCGAAGAGGATGGAGCCACATTGCGACCGCATGCGGAATCTCTGCAGGATCTGAAGATCGAACTGGTTGCCGCCACGGGTCACAGTAAAAACGGAGCTCTTTCCGTCTTCGTAAACTGCATAAATCCGCAGATCATCACAAGTTTCGAGCTTGACGGTTGCCTCGATGTGTGGACCGTGTTCGATGATGCCACCAAAAAGTCTTCTCGGCACGATCAACATGATTTCATGTTGCTTTCGCAAAGGAACTCAACCTTGGTTCTGCAAACGGGACAGGAAATCAACGAGATTGAAAATACTGGTTTTACGGTCAACCAACCGACCATATTTGTGGGTAATCTTGGACAGCAGCGGTTTATTGTTCAGGTGATTTTTTAACCGTGGTAATTAGCTATGCTGTTTATTAATAAATTGGTCTTCTTATCCACCAGGTCACCACCCGACACGTTAGATTACTGCAAGGAACTCGTCTGCTTCAGAATGTGCCCATCGATGTGGGCTCTCCAGTTGTCCAGGTGTCCATAGCAGATCCCTATGTTTGCCTGCGGGTGCTAAACGGCCAGGTGATCACATTGGCGCTGCGAGAAACACGTGGAACTCCACGATTGGCTATTAATAAGCACACAATCAGCAGTTCCCCCTCCGTAGTGGCCATTTCCGCCTACAAAGACCTCTCCGGATTATTCACAGTCAAGGGTGATGATATCAATCTGACAGGGAACTCAAGCAGTGGATTTGGCCACAGTTTCGGGGGCTACATGAAGGCGGAGCCCAACATGAAGGTGGAGGACGAAGAGGATCTGCTATACGGCGATGCGGGAAGTGCTTTCAAGATGAACAGCATGGCGGATTTGGCCAAGCAATCCAAGCAGAAGAACTCGGACTGGTGGCGACGTCTCCTGGTGCAGGCGAAGCCCAGCTATTGGCTGGTGGTGGCACGCCAAAGTGGCACCCTGGAGATCTACTCCATGCCGGACATGAAGCTGGTTTATCTCGTAAACGATGTGGGCAACGGGGCCGTGGTTCTCACGGATGCCATGGAATTTGTGCCTATTTCGCTGACCACCCAGGAGAACTCCAAGGCGGGCATTGTCCAGGCTTGTATGCCGCAGCACGCCAACTCTCCGCTGCCATTGGAATTGAATATCATTGGATTGGGTCAGAATGGCGAACGACCTCTGCTGATGGTGCGAACCCGAGTGGAGCTGCTGATATACCAGGTCTTCCGATATCCCAAGGGTCATCTGAAGATACGCTTCCGCAAGCTGGAGCAACTGAATCTGCTGGACGAACAGCCGTCGCACATTGAGTTGGACGAGAACGACGAGCAGGAGGAGATTGAGTCCTACCAAATGCAGCCGAAGTATGTGCAAAAACTGCGTCCTTTTGCTAATGTAGGAGGACTTTCTGGCATTATGGTGTGTGGCGTAAATCCCTGCTTTGTATTCCTAACATCTCGTGGAGAACTTCGTATACACAGGCTAATGGGAAACGGAGATGTGCGCAGCTTTGCTGCGTTTAACAACGTGAATATACCCAATGGTTTCCTGTACTTTGACACCACCTACGAGCTAAAGATCTCTGTGCTGCCCAGCTACCTCAGTTACGACTCGGCGTGGCCGGTGCGAAAGGTTCCACTGAGGTGCACTCCAAGGCAACTGGTTTACCATCGCGAAAACCGGGTTTACTGTTTGATAACGCAAACGGAGGAGCCGATGACCAAGTACTATCGGTTTAACGGAGAGGACAAGGAGCTGTCCGAGGAAAGTCGCGGCGAGAGGTTCATCTACCCCATTGGTTCGCAATTTGAAATGGTTTTAATATCACCGGAAACCTGGGAAATCGTACCAGATGCTTCGATTTCCTTTGAGCCCTGGGAGCATGTAACCGCATTCAAGATCGTAAAGTTATCCTACGAAGGTACTCGTTCGGGTCTCAAGGAATACCTCTGCATTGGAACCAACTTTAACTACAGTGAAGATATTACCAGCAGAGGAAATATTCACATTTACGACATCATCGAGGTGGTTCCTGAGCCCGGCAAACCCATGACCAAATTTAAGCTGAAGGAAGTCTTTAAAAAGGAGCAAAAGGGACCCGTTTCGGCCATTTCGGATGTGCTGGGCTTTCTGGTCACTGGATTGGGACAGAAGATCTATATTTGGCAGCTACGCGATGGAGATCTCATTGGAGTGGCTTTCATAGATACAAATATCTATGTGCATCAGATTATCACTGTGAAATCGCTGATCTTCATCGCAGATGTATACAAATCTATAAGTTTGCTGCGCTTCCAGGAGGAGTATCGCACCTTGTCACTGGCCTCGCGAGATTTTAATCCTCTGGAGGTTTATGGCATTGAATTCATGGTGGACAACTCGAATCTGGGCTTCCTGGTCACCGATGCTGAGCGCAATTTAATTGTCTACATGTACCAGCCGGAGGCAAGGGAATCGCTGGGTGGCCAGAAGCTGCTGCGCAAGGCGGACTATCACCTGGGACAGGTGGTGAACACCATGTTCCGTGTGCAGTGCCACCAAAAGGGTCTCCATCAACGCCAGCCTTTCCTGTACGAAAACAAGCACTTTGTGGTTTATGGTACCCTGGATGGAGCTTTGGGATATTGCCTGCCGCTTCCGGAGAAAGTCTACAGGAGATTCCTCATGTTGCAGAACGTCCTGCTCTCCTACCAGGATCACCTTTGTGGCCTCAATCCCAAGGAATACCGCACTCTCAAATCGTTTAAGAAACAGGGTATCAACCCCTCGCGCTGCGTCATCGATGGCGATTTAATTTGGTCCTACCGCCTGATGGCCAATTCGGAACGCAATGAGGTGGCCAAGAAGATTGGCACGCGGACGGAGGAGATCCTGGGCGATTTGCTGGAAATCGAACGACTGGCCGGCGTTTTCTAGACATCCTTTCGCGGCAAAGATGTAAAGTTTTAGTTGGTAGTTTTATTTGTAGATTATATGTTACGAGTTTCTCAGTTGTAATTCTAGTTTTGTAATCCAATCGAAGCCACAACAAAGTATTTTGTTAAGTAAACTTTGGAGTTTGTAATGATTTCAGTGGGCTGTACAAAAATATTGGGCGAAAAGTAATCTTCCCTAAGATCGTAGACTTTAAAATCTCGAGATTTATCGAGTTTTGATGTGGTAAAAATAAAAATCAGAAAGTATATATGATTTTAAATGTATGTATTTTTAAAAACTGATTTAGAGATTCTTAAAGATGATAAAAAATTCTTCTCTTTGCGGTTCCTCAGTTTTATGGCTATTTATTAAAACGATCGAAGTTCAAGTAATTAAAAACCTATCCCCAAAAGTAAAGAAAACAATTAAAGACTTTAGATTGGACGCTTTGTGGGGCGTCTTGCCTGCGTCACAGCATTCGTTATGTATTGTATAATATATATAATGTATATGTATACTAGATTATTCATTGTATAAACTAACAACATCATCAGTATCAGTATCAGTTAGTTAACTCAATGTGCAACAGCCAACGGCAGCCGTACACTCGTCGTACGAGGAAAATACACATTTCCAATCGAAGATCATCCGAAAAAATGAAAGAAAACTTATAGGCGATATATATAATAATTAAAGAAATTGCAAACTGTCTGCTTAGTTGGTACTCGGTAGTTGGTAGGTGGTGCGCGTATGTGTGGTTTTATGTGGGTGGTTTTGCTTTGGGGTGTCCTGTGTGTGGAAGGCGCTTCGTGTGTCCTTGTTTTTCGTTGAGCAACTAATTTAGTTTAGATAGCGAAAACAACAATCTTCAAGGCGGCTAGGCAACAGGCAAACAAAGTATGCGGATTACGAGCTGATATATTTATGTGTACGTAGTGGTGACTCCGAAATCCCAGCCATCCCGGCTAGCCCTCGATCTGGGATCGCAGTCGGGGACGTGGCAAATCGCCGAGCACAGCCTCGCCATGGACGCTTTTGGTCAGCGCCTGAATGCTGGCCGCTATGTCGATATTGTCCATTCCCTGTTAAAAGAAATCATTAATTAGTTTCATATTTATAAAGATTTTTTCTAAAGGTAATCCCACCTCCTCGCCGCCCAGGGCAAAATTATTATTATTGGCCGCAGCAGCTCTCTCAGCCAGCGTGGTGTTGGCTATCTCGATGGGCAGACTCCTGGCAAAGTTCATCAGCTGCGCATGGCTGGGGCGACCTCCTCCTCCTCCGCCGCGCACTGGTATCGAAATGGAGCTGTCCGGATCGAGAGCATCTTTAAGGAAAAGAGAAATACTTGGATTACTTGTGCTTTTTATTATAGCCTTGCAGAGGGCTATGTCAATCTGTCCGTCTGTTTCTACGCAATCTAGTCTCTCAGTTTTTAAGCTATCGGAATGAAACTTTCCCAAAAGTCTTCTTTCTATTGCAGGTAGTATTTAAGTCGGAACCGGCCGGATCTGACAACTATATGTTATAGCTCCCAAAGGAAAGATCGGAAAAAAACATTAGAAAAATTCTAGCTTCGGTTTTTTTTAAATATTCTACTCGTGGAAATAATATTTTTTAATCGGATCACTTTTTTTTTAAAAACGGTCGTAAAATTAAATGGAAATTAATAGGAACAAATTTATATCTTTGTTGGTACTTATTACTTTCTCTTCTTCACTGGGATCAACATAGCTTTTCTTTAACATTTCAAAATTTCGAATTAAATTCAATAAAATTCGGACGTCTATATTATAGAGCTCCCATAGGAAGGATCAAAAAAATAATGCCAAAATAATACGAAAGGAGCCAAAATTTCGATTGATTTAACATATAAGCAAGTTAATCTAAATTTAATGTTTTTTTTTTAAATAATAGGAATGATTTACATATAAGCTTCGGCTGGCCGAAGAAAGCTTCCTTTCTTGTAAATAGAGAGATTTTATTAATTTACCTTCAGCTTCGTCGGCCGCTTCGTCATCCAGCACGCTGCCCAGTCCGTTTTGCTGGAAGGGATTGTGGTGGTGCTCCGGCTGATAGATCAGGCTGCGCGGATAACTTGGCACTGGCACAGACTGAACTGGCGGCGGCGCCGGGGCATCCACATCCTCCAGATCGAAGAGACAATCATCCGCATCGTCGGCGGCACTGGACTGACCCGAACCATTGGTGGCCAGCATCTGTGTTTGCTGACCACCACCAGCACCTCCGCCGGCTGCCGATTGCTGACGGAAGGTGGGACTATTGCCCACGCTCATGGGCGTGGCTTCTGGGGTGGCGGGCGGTGTGTCAAAGTGCGACATCTTTCTGGCCACCGAGACGCTCTGCAAAGGCTGCTGTTGCTGTTGCGGCTGCTGTTGCTGTTGCGCCTGCAACTGCGGCTGCTGATTGAGGGTCAGGAAGCTGGGCGGATGATTCAAGGTGGTGGTGGGCGTGGTGGGTCCACCGTTCAACTCCCGCCGGCTGCTAATGGTGTTCCTGCGCCGGGCAGTCGCACTCTGCGGCTGATTGGCGGCCACATCTAAAGCGGGGGGCATGGCACGATCCAGCAGCTCCGAGGCCAGCTCGGGTAAATTGCGGATTAGGGCGAATAGAATCGCACAGTCCTGGTCCGACTTTTCGCGGAAGCTGTTCAGCAACTGAAACTGATTGCGCGTATACCGCTCGATTCGCTCATTGGTCTCCAGAATCTCCTCCTGCAATCGCGCCTGCTGATGCGCCTGTAGCATCCGCAGCCTCTGGAGCCTCTGGGCATCTGTGGGATTCGCCGACAGCGAGCCAATGCTCAAGCTCGACGCCGAATTGGATATGCCACTGGTGGTGGAGTCACTGCCCGTGTGATCCATGATCAGCAGCTCAAAGGTCTCCGAGTAGGATTTGTTGGACTTGCGCTGGGCCAGCTCCTCGCTGCTGCTCAGCAGCGTGCAGTTGATCAGGTAGAGCGTGGGCGTGGCTCCAGCACCCGCCGTCAGTCGCTTGGCGCACAGCACCTCCTTGCAGTTGATGCACAGGCTCAGCTGCCAGCTTTGGCCAGCGGCGTCCAGGGTGAGGCCGTAGAGCAGCTCCCGCTGATTGATCACGGCCACCGTGAGGTCTGGAATGGGTCCATAGGCCTGGAAAGTAGAGAAAAGTTGAGAATTACTAATTGTTAAAAAAAAAACAAATATAAATAAATTTAGAAATATATTATTATTTATTTATTTACCCATCGAAATGTAGAAAAAATTTTTTAAATCAGACCAGTCATTAAAAAGTTATGAGCAAAAATTGAAACAGACGCTAGGTGGAGCCATGAAAAATTTCAACAGCTGCTAGATGGTGCGAGTAGCTTTGATGACTGCATATCTTCATCTCCCTCGCACTCCCTTCAGCTGAGTAAAGGGTATTTGATAGTCGATAGCTATTCATAAGCTTTTTTAAATATTTCAAAATTTTTTTAGGTCCTTCTATAAATTTTAAAAGGTTTTTTAAAATATATTCTTTATAGATTTGAACAACACCATAAATAACAAAATTTGTATAGGGTTTTTTTTTAGCTTTTTCTCAGTGCACATATCACTTTCATATGACTGGATTACTTTTAGTCAACAGGTTGATAAGACCCTCAACCTGGTCAATGTCTGATAAAGGGGATTATCAATTTACCCCCATTATTATCTGCAGTTTTGATCAGCCCAATGGAAAGGCTTTCTTCGATATTTACCCAGTCGACAACCCCGCCGCACAGTAGTTCAAGTGCAAATTTGTCAATTATGTTCATTTCGAGTGGTGCTGCACCCGATTGTCGGGAAACTTATCGGAAAACAAGGGACCCCAGCTGATGAACATACAAAACAACAAACAATTAGTGCAATGGCAAAATGATGTTGTTTCTCCCTACCAAAAAACAGAAGAATACTTGAATTATTAAGGGTGTCATGGTGACAAACAGAAGATGATGTGAGATGGGGTAAACAACAGGTTCCCGATATCAAACAATCAGTTGGAAAAGTCTGTTTGATGATCTTAAAATGGCAAGTGCACTCAAAAAAAAATTTTAGAAAATCGCCTATGGATTTGCTTTACTGGCGATTTTTTTCTATATTTCTGGAATATTTCTTGAATTTAATGAATTTTGATTAATTGGAAGAAAATTTTCTTTACCAGTAGAAAATTTTTTTATTTTAAAGAAAAAAATCGCCAGTGAAGCAAATCCATAGGCGATTTTCTAAAATTCAGGGCGATTCATTTTCTGAGTGTGGTGACCCCAAAATTGAGAAAGATATGATATGACTGCCAATAAAATACAAATATAAACAAATGTCCATCATCATCATAATTCTGCCCCCAAAAGTTACCTCACACAGCCTTATACTATATATAAAAAAAACTATTCGCAACCCCCTCCCCTCTTCAATTTATATAGATAAATTCCCCCATTTATGCAGAATAATTCCGGCATGTTTGGGATCGTAGCACGTGTTTGCCGACTGACACAGGAGAGAAAAACACTTTTTATAGACGTGCTCGGTTAAATTTGACACTCGCGTCCAACACAATCAAGTAATATTCATATAACCCGGACAATAAACACAACCCAAAGGGGGGGATGAGGGGGCGGGACACTGGACACAAGCACAAAACAACCACTCGCACACGTAGATACACAGAATTAAATTGAATTAACGTACAAAATGCAACCGTCAACAGAAATCAAATGACAATGTTGCCCGTCAGCTAAGCGCTTCAAAAGCTCCTGGATTGCATAGCATCGTTTTCCACATAACCGTCATCATTATTGTCAGGTGGACAAGAAAAAGAAATCATCTCGAGATTTAGGATCTAATATCATTTCGGTAAATCTTATAAAAAGTTGTTAGTATTTTTTGTCTTTAATCCTTAAAATTATTTCTAATGATAAAATTATATTTGGATTTAAATTGCTTTAAATTATAACCATGACCTTTCTGTAAAATCATTTTTTAAAAAAACTTTTTCAGGAACATCTAATTTTCTAAATATTTTTAAGCCTAATAGAATATGGGTTTAACTAAAAAAAATCATAATCAATCAAGAATGTCTGGAAATCGGATTAATAAAAAGTCTAGTTTAACATTTAACAAACTAACAGATCTTGAAAACATATAAACTATTAAATATTATTAAATAATACCATTTATATTTCTGCTTCCCACAATGTTTTTAAGAATAAGCATTAACTAAAACTTGGCAAACAAATCAATTTCCGGGCATTTCAAAATTGCAGCTGCATTCGTTCGTCTTCTTTTCGAAAATTGTTTTTCTCTTCCATTTTGGACAATAACAAGTTGTGGTCACACACCCACTCAACAAAATATTGTTTTCAATGCAAATTCCAAACTTGTTTACACACCCCAGTGTGGTAATATCTAATCAGCCTCAGTCAGTCGGCGACAATAATTATATGAATGAAACCGAAATAAAAAAGGCAGTAAAATGTGACACAGCAAATGCATTGTTGTCAAGTGTTTTGGCATTCATTTGTTTTTATTTTTGCTGCCAAACGCATAAACATATTTATGGGCTCAGGCCTATTTGCTCAGTTTAAATTTGCAGTTTTATGGCTGTTTTCGTAACCACAAGACTCGACTGACTTGTTGTTCTTGCTGCTAATTTGCTTCGCTCAATACCCTTCAGTTTGGGTTTTTAGGGGAATGAGTGGTTAAGAACTCGTTCGATTGAAAAACAGATAAGATAAGTGATAATAGACGAAAGATTACAATGATTTTTAATTTTAGATTTATGATTTTATCTCCCGAGAGCGGGTAATTAAGATTAGATTAAGGTTTCCTTATAGATAAGGGTAAAAGGTATAAACAGAGATTGGTAAATAAAGACTTGGTGGTTAAATATTTCTCGAGTTTTATATAGAAGTCTTCATAATATATTGGATATTATTATATTACAATATGATATTTTCTTGCCTTACTATCCTATTAAATTTCGAGTTTAATACATAAATATTCAGAATATCTAGGCTATCATTATATTACAATTTGATATTTTATTGCATTACTATCTTGTTATATTTCGAATTTTGTACATAAATATTCCGAATATTTAGGATTTTATTATTATTATTTATTATATTACAATGTGATATTTTCTTGCCTTACTGTCTTAATATTCCAGGGTAACCAAGTTATCGATTATACCTCATTACCATTCATCATTCATTCTTGATTTTTTAGCGTTATTTACAGTTTTTATGGCCCGGCTGGCTAAGCTTAAAGTGGGTGTTTTTGTTGACTCGGTTGTTCGTCCCCGACCGCCTGACCTTATCAGTTGGCTTGTAAAATGCTGAGGGGCCCTGCTTAACTCCCATCCATTCATCCATCCATCCATCCATCCATCGAGTCCATTGATCCTGGCCACTTGCATTGCATTACCCTATGTTTTTTACCCTTTCTTGCCCAACATTTTGCAAGAACTTGCACATCTTCACTCGCTGTTCGCAATTTGCAGTTTGCAATCTGCCAAATGTCAATGACTCTTCTCAGTGACTTTCAGACTGCAATGACAACAATTGAAGGCAACAATAGCCGTCGTCGTCACTTCATTGGGTCGGCTGGTTGGTTGCTTAATTAACGTAACTGGCTGTTCGAATTATCGGTTCTTGCTTAATTGAAATTAAATGTCTGTGCGCTGTCCTGCTAATTATGTTGTGGCGCCACCTAGTGTCCGGAACCGGTGGCAGTTAGCTAATTAAATAACCGTTTACGTTCGACTTTGACGTATGACCGTTTGTTTTATGGCCAGCCCGGCATTTGATTAATTGTAATCGCGTCTTCTGGCCGAAAAGAAAAAAAAGCAAACAAAACCACGTAAATAATAATAAATAAAACATGGCGTGTTCTTGTTGGATGAGCTTCTCATGAAAGAGATGGCAATTGGCTGGCAGAAAGAGAAGCTAAATCGCCTGAGGAAACGCGCCGAGGAGCACGTAACTTAGCCGCACGCTCCTCGCATATCGGAAATCAATATAAATCGTTTTAATTGAAATGCGACATTTAAATAATGTATGCAATCTAGAGGGAATCAATTGCAGTTGTGCCAACTGTCGAAATCGTTGTCCAACTGTCAATGGCAATCAGTGGATCTCTTAATATGCATAGTGGATAACTAAGATGAATTATAATGAATATGTACCAGTCGCTTTTTGGAGCCAATTCAATCTTAGTAAGCAATTTTGAATTATTTTCGAATTCTAGTATTTTTTTTAGATTTCTGTGTTAAACCGTTTCAGAGATCCTTTCAACCTCCCAAAAAAATAGGCTGTATTTTATATATTTAATTCTAGTAATTTAATTTCGCTTTCTTACCTTTGCGTAAAGAAACTAAAACCAATCTCTGTACCCAACTCCTTTGAAAACACATCTTATCGCCTAGAGCCGCATAATATGACCATAAAGTCGACTATAACTTGAGAGTTATGTTCTGGCAATCTTGGGCAGGAAATACAAGTGCATTATTATTATGGACCTCTCAAGTGCCTCTGGCTGTTTAGTTATGCTGTAAGGCTAATAACGACTGCTGTTAAAGCTTTTTGCTATCATCAAACTGTTGCGCACTTGAATTGCCTGTCTGCCAGTTTCTATTTTATTTCATTTCATTTCATTTTTCTGTCTGGGCTGGCTAAAAACAATTGAAATTCATATCAGAATAAGAGTGTGTGTCTGGCAATGCAGATCCCCAGCCGGCTTATGCAACCAGAACGATTCCCATAAAGCAAACAACTTTAAAACAGAATGTATGTAATAATTTTTCGCATTTTGCACATTGCTGCATAATTAATTTGTTGTTGTGCGAGGCGATTGTGTAGTTTAATTGATTGCCCGGCATTAATTAAGCTCATAGCTCGACACTCGATGTGTCTAATGGGACTACTTATAGGGTCTGTCAACCTTCTCTGGGTCCCCACTTTCCCCTATCATTTTATATTTTTTATTTTGCATGTCAAATCGCGTTGCTTTTGACTTGGTGAAAAACAAACAAACACATTAAGCTGTGTCCAAAGGTAAAAATGAGCTGTTGATGACACATAAAAGAAAATGTTTTCGTTGATAAAGTGGTACGTAAGTAAATAAAGATATGA